AGATTAAGGCGATTAGAAGAAAATTAAGCACCCTAGCCGTGCCATTAGCAATGTTTAAGGACATATGATAGTAGAATGATTACTTAGGCTTAAAATGAACATAATTGAGGTACTTAAGGAACCATTAAGTACGATTATGCGTATGATCACGCACGATTAGCGCGAGATTAGCATATTTTCCGCTCGATTAAGTACGATTTGATTCGATAATATTTTTATCGAGCGATTGAACATAAATTGACTTATACTTTGGATTCCGAGAATAATATGAACATTACGAAGCTAAGAACGTAATTTACATTAGATAAAAATGGGCTATTACAATAAGAATGCTCATAATCATATTATATCCCACGGCCATTCGAATGAATCGAGCCACATTACACCTCTAAATTTATTCGACAGATATAAACACTTCAGCTAGTTGTTGTGTTGCAAGAAAATAGTTAAATAAGGATCATCCCTGTGCTTCAAATACAGGGGCATTTCAAGAGCATTCTCTGCAGTTTTCCTGTCTTCGTGGATCTTTGCTATTAGGCTCTCGAGTGATGTAAAGTTGGCCTGTAAAATGACAATCTCATATTTCGCGAGTTACTGAATAGAAACAAGAGATATTTATGAATATAAGAAAAGATTTGAAATATAGCTTGATTTGAGATTAAAAGGCGAAAGTGAATACTTGTGAGGCTATGCATTTCTCATCACACCTTTAGGCTACATTTGGTAACCAAATAAACTAGATTATAGATTATTTGATTAGATTATAAGCTTGTGAATACTTGTGAAGCTATGCATTTCTCGTCACACCTTTAGACTACGTTTGGTAACCAAATAAACTAGCTTATAGCTTATTTGATTAGCTTATAAGCTTGATGTATTCAAATAAGTTTCGTTTGATACGATGAGCTTTTTTAAAAAGCTCGAGCGTATCTCATAAGCTTCTTTGGGTAGCTTTTCAAATAAGTTCATTAAAATTTTTATTTCAACTAACTTATCAAGCTAATTTTAGCGAACTCTTTTATCATATGAGCTAGTTTTTCAGCTATAAGCTATGAAATCGAAAATCACTCACAAGTTATAAGCTAGCTTATCAGCTAATTCTACCAAACATGGTCTTAAGCTTAATGTAAAACAAGACGAAATCTTAATTGTGTTGACATACCTTCGGCCTCATATAGCCAACAATAACGAGACGCAATTCCTCACCATAGAAGTCCTCGTTAAACTCATGAAGCAGCCATGGCTCCTGAATATCATTTCTCCCGAATAAGAAAATGGCATTTTACTAAAAGATGAGACAAATAGAAAATGAGATGGAAAATAGAGCTAAATGCTTAACAATTGTCTTCTCCGAGTTGTTGAAGTAAGGGTTCCAACCTAGGCTCATAACCATCTTATAAATTCCATGATTTGCTAATCCGGCCCGTCCAAAATACACTCCCGAAGGGCGTTCCGAGAGGAGATCCGCGAACCCCTCAATCGACAAATTAGCTGGAAAAAAGATGATTCGTAAATGAAAACAATCAATAGAGGCAGTCACACTTTTTATTTTAAAGTAAATCGCTCCAAGCCGTTAAAACTACAAAAATTTTGCATTATACTCCCAAAACCTATACATTCTTTGTTTCACCTTGCTCCCTGATTGATCTCACATTCCATCACGCGAAGAAATTAAAGCGTTTCAGCTTTTCATTTGTCCAGGTGGAAAAATTGAGAAGACAGTATTAATTCTAGGGGTAAAATGGCAAACCAACAAATACAGTTGGTGAGCCAACCTAAGAAAACCTCATAGCTCAAGGGGTTTAATTTACTCCAGAAATATTGGATTATGTTAAAATATTAACACCTCCTTTTGTGGAAGCTTCTTGACATATTGAGAAAGATAGCAAGTTGCTAGAAAGTTCTTGATGAATTGAGAGACAACAAGCAAACAAGTTGTATTAATTAAATATTGCTCCAGAATCATCCCGCTAAGGCGGCTAAATATACCGACTTACATGCACCTATATATATTAGTTGTTGGCCCATTTTGTTGTGTGCTAAGTGAGTGGCGAAAACAACACATGAGTGTCCCATGAGTGAGTTGTGTGATAAAATTATTTAGAGTGTCTTTGTATGATGTTGTTTAGATAAATAGTTTGTTTATTTTGGTTTAAGTATTTAAGTCTTGGTTAGTTTATATCCGCATAATTACTTTGTTAATGTAATAAAGTAATTACGTTAGTGTTTTGTTAGTGCACCCAGAGAAATAAGAAAAAAAATCAGAAAACTTGTTGGGATTCCAAGCACCTCCGAGCCACGGCCGAAACCTTTGACGACTGGACCACCAATATGCCAAGGTTCTATTGGTAGTGTACTTTCTATCCCTGCAGATTACATTTGGAGTTGGTTAAATTTAGGCATCAAAAAATATAGACAATGTAACGAAAATCCAAATTTAAAAAACGAGAGGCTCACTCACAGTCGTCGAATGCAGGTAAGCCCCACTTTTTAGGTTTGAAAATCGAGCAAGGAGTTAATCACCTCATCTGCAGATGTGAAAAGGTGGGATTGTTTAGGCAAGGACGGGACAGCAACCACTTCCATTCCAGCTGCCTTACCCGCAGTCACACCTGGCCTACCGTACAATAAATTAATTCTCATAAAAAAGAAATTCAACAATTTTATCGAGGGTTTCCTATGTTTTTGCATTAAATACTCGATGATAACCGCAGATATATAATATTTACCTAAAAAGGAAAAGGAATGGTTTAACTGAGACTTAGTGTGTAAGTTCATCAGAACCATCCTAAAATTTAGCCTAGATTNGTCTCTCAGTTATTTTTCAAAGATCAGGAAAATAGATGAAAATCAGGCCAGTGTCACTACCTTATAAAAGAAAGACATGTTTGACAAGCAAGCAGACATCTAAAAACAATCAATCATAGCTTGTGAAAATGATTGACTAATACTCACAATGAATCTTCAATGACGAGACAGTTAGACATATCAACCTTAAGCCTCTTTGCAGCTTCAATATATTTTCAACAATGAAGCACAAGATCAGTTCTTATAAACGTATGCCAAAAGCAAGGTTGTCAAAACCGGACCGGTCATCGAACCGGTCAAGCTACTGGTTCAATGGTTCACTGGTCCGACCAGTGGTTGAACCAGTTATTATTATTTTTAAATATAAAATATGTTATATAATAGAAATTATATACAAAAACTTCATTAATTAAATATGTAGAAAATTTGGAACTTTTAAATACTTAAACTGACTTATATATACCTATTATATTTATATATGTATTTTTTATTTATAGTACAAAATATAATATTCTTAATATAAAGAAAAATATACATACACTTACATGCATGCAAGTTTATTATTATCTAATTTTTTAATAATCTGGTCTTCTGGTACTTGGATACAATCCCACTTTTGAGATCGTTTTTGGGTCAGCCATCCACTGGACCCAATTTTAATGGCTGCCACTTTGCAATAGAATTCATCCACAATGTAAATTTCCTTTGTCCCACATTGGTTAAAGAAGTAAGGGAGTTGCTTCATAAATGCATTAAAATATATATCCATATGCAAAAGACATTCACTGGTCCAACCGCCGGTTCTCAACCGGTTTTGACCGGTTCGACCGGCTGTTGACCGGTTTGTTTCGAAACGGTTAATTCAAGCAAACCGGACCGGACAGTAGACCGGTTCCCGGTTCAACCAGTTGGACCGGCCGGTCCGGTTCTGAAAACCATGGCCAAAAGCCAACCAAAATGAAAAGATCATATTTTAATTTATTCATATTACATTGCAGGAGATGGCTTTCCAGAAGTGACTTCATCACCACCTACAATAACAGAGAATGTTTCTTTCCAACCTACACATGAATGCTGGACAATCAGATACACAGTGGAACTGTGGAAAAACGATATACAAATAAAGATAAAGATAAAGTTTCTCGATGGAATTTCACGTTTAAGTACCCTTATGAGCAGAAATCTTGGTCTCAATATTATTCCTTGAGGAATTTGAGGCCAAGGCCATAGGAATACCATGTCAGCACCAGGTAGTGCTTTGAATTGCACCACCTACCAAAAAAAAAAAGTTTAATCAAATAAACAACCATATACTTAGGGAGAATTTATAAAAACTTATATAATGTTGGGAATCTTTGAAAGAAAATCTAACGCCCACGCATTATGACAAAGGTGAAAAACCTCAGAATTCAAAAGATCCTGCTCTATGAACAAACTCAACTCATCAATTTTACAGGACTAAGAAGATGCAATCACCCATAGAAGTCATATGAGTTCAATGACTAATGAACTTAATCGGTATAAATAATCAAAGAAACCAGATAATCTTACTTGTCAGCAAATAATGGAGCAGTTTCAGACAGAAATTCATCAGTGGTTATGGGGAGTTCATAATGCTCAACAATAACAGCAGCAGCTTCATAGGGCGATTTCCCTATAATTCTATGAGTTCCTTTTGCATCCCATTGCTTTCCATATTTAACCAAGTAAACTTTCAGAACTTCGTTCACGATGCCATCTACCANAGGAAAAAAAAAAAAAAAAGAAGAAGAAGAGAAGAAATGAAAGTTGGAAGTTAAAGCACATACCAACACATGTCCGAAGCAAGCACGAATTAAAAATACAAAACATGTTAGATGTAATTTTCCGCCACTAGTATTTAATAATACATATTGCTTAACTACGGGAAAAAAATGATATGGGGGTAGATATAAATACATAAATGTGCATTTAATAACTGAATCACGTGAGAAAATAAAGAGAACAGGTGTGAGCATATCTGATTGAAAGAAGTTTCCCAATGGTGCAAAACAATAATAGGAAGAATTTAATTTTTTAATTTACATCAACTAAGTGAACAAGTAGTTTTTGCAGGAGACTACAGTTAAAACACATAGAAGGATCGAATGAATAACCCACCTGTGTTAAGTGTACCGTCCAAGCCAAGAATAACACAAGATACAAGCTTATTAAGTGGCTTTGCCATTAACATTGTGAACAACTAGCAAATGAAAGGAAGATTATGATTCCATCAACCATGGATCGGCAACTCTGACCAAACGTCAGATACTTAGTCGGGCCAATTCAGCCTGATAATTGAACGAGATGAATTATGAAAGAATTCATGATGGTGAAATGAATATAGTTAAAGATAAGATAATAATATGCGAGCACGAAAATAATTTTACTACAGCAACAAATTCGGCAAGTTGGACTTGATATTTAAGAACCGTTATGAGGGTTTTTCTTTAGTCTGCTATCAATATCATAACACATTTTTTCAACATAGCCAATAACCACAAAAACCAAAATAATTACGCAGATGATAATTTAAGGTTCAATCCTATCCCGAATCAGACGTAATCAGCCCGAGGGACCCATCAACACACAAGGAAGAAGAAATCAAAATAATGGCTTTAAAAATCTTTTAGTAAAACGATCATTTTGAGATTCACCTGTGCAGTTTATTCGCATCTTTTACACAGAGTCTACTGCACAACGATAAGAATTGCTAAATGGTCATATGGAGGTCACCAAAGAGAAACGGAGGTGAAAAACTTATTGAACCCAAAATCGGGAACTCATTAAAATCCACTAAGCTGAAAATTCATTCAGACCAACAAATTAACAATTCATTTAGAACGAAATTCCATCAAAACCATAACGAACAGGGTGGAGGAAAAGAGAACAGAGACAAGACAGTACCACTCTCCTAATTTTGCTACACCACATACACATAAAAACATTCATAAATATGGGGTATTTTGCAAGCTTATAAAGAAAGTGTCTGGTGACCGCGCTTTCAGGTAGCCATTTTAATAAATTCTGCCAAATTTTGATAATCAGGGGTGCGGTCCATGCACCATAACAGGATGAGCCTAGGTGCACAGTGAGGTTCCATTCAAAACCAAATGGCGATGGGAGGAGTAGCTTATTAGGCTTATAAACTAGCTCATTTACTGTATCAAATCAATGTAGGGAAACTCACAAGTGATATTCTAACAAAATCTAGCTCAACTCGAGGAAGAACATGAATCCTCCAAAATTAACAAAACAACCAATTCAAGCATTCAAAATAAACTTGAAAATTTATAGGGCAAAATAACTAAAATTACAACAAAAGCAGACAAAACTGATGGCTGAGAGGACTAGCCTCTCTCCGGCTTCATAACGCCGGATTCCGGCAGGTTTGGTTGGCGGCAGCCGCAAGTTGAGAGGATGAGCGTTGAGCTGAGTGCGGATACTGGTGTGAATTTTTTTGTTTCTTTTTTCAAAGTTTGGGGATTTACAAAAATAAAAAAAATTGTCTTTGTCAATTATATTTTTATATTCTTTTATAATTGTCAAACGAAATTTCCGTATCTATATATATATATAATAAGAATTAACATTTTTCAAAAATAGTAAGCAAAAAAATAGGGAATATTAATTGCATTCTATTTTTGGTATGTTTTTTTAATTTTTTTAATAAAAAATCAAGTACAGTAGCATTTAATGCTAGCACAAATCATGGGATTTGTTATATAGATGCATATTTGAATTTCAAACTTCAAACAAAACATGCCTAAATGTATTTTGAATTTTTTAGGGAAAAAAATTAACAAACACGTGAAAGATGTCATACAATACATATATTTATATATATTATCTTAACATATAGGTTAATTAGTTTCATATCTAAACAATATATATTTAAACAATATATAAACAAATATAATAATTTATCGTACAATACAGACAAATATATAAACAATATATTTATATACAAATATAATAAACAATACAAACAAATAACAAACAATATATAAACAAATATAAGAACTTGTCACGTGTATATTTCGTACAATACATATATTTGTATATATTATCTTAACATATAAGTTAATTAGTTTCATATCTAAACAATATATATTTTAGGAACTTAAAGATTCATAACATTACTGACGTCATGTATATTTATAATATATTGTCACGTACATTTTACTACAATTGGTAACTTTTTTAAAATTATTTGAATAACTGGAGGTTGATTTGTAATTTGAATTTCAAATTCATTCAAACATTTAAAGGAAAATATCATAAGAAGATTTCTTTGATACATTTCATTTTATCTCAACTTACATATAATCACGTTCCTACCTAACATTAAATTTGCTTATATCTTTTTAAATTAATTACATCACTAAATAATATTAATATACATTACATATTTATCATTATATAACAAATATATTACTTCTACAAGTGTTATAAATAATAATGACATTATATGATAATAGATTTTTTGATAGATTAATAATTAAGTATTATGATGAACCAAAATATGTAAAATTATTATTATTTTGTATTAAAAAATAAATATATATGTTAAAATATTATTTATAATAATATATTGGTTCATCATGCTATTACAATAAATTTTATAATAAAATAATATGAGTATTATACGAGGAACAAAATTACGTAAAATTGTTTTTTTTTCTTATGTCAAGGAATATATATATATATAATGAATTAAATTTATATTATTATAAACATGTGAGCGAGATAATATATTAATTAATTTACGGTCTAGCGCTACCACTACCAGGCTCAGGTTTAATGTCTCGACAAAAAAAATGACGTTGATGAAAGAGGTAAAAAAATAGATGATCAAACTCTATTACTTTTTTAGGCCTTAACTGACAAGCCCTATTGTCCACTCATTTAATATCTCCCGTGAACAGACAAACTCTGTGGAAATTACTCATTTAATATTTATGTCCCGTGCATCGCATGGGCTACGTACTAGTATGAATGGTATTGGACAATGGAAAATGTGATTTTTTGGAATGTTGGATGTTGGGATATAAAAATTTTTGGTTATGTTTAGATTTTTTTATTTGATTTGGTAAATTTTGAAAATAGTGGTATGATTAGTTGTTGGTGATATATTAAAATAATATTTAAATTAAAACATCAGATTCTGCTACATTATTGGTGTAAAATTATGGAGGTTGTTTCATGGGCTACAGTTGGCCTGGGATATTGGAGCCTGAAAAATTAAAGTGGAGGTCGCCAACCAGAGCATTTTGAAGGGGATTCAGGAACTTTTGGTCGTCATTGGTCGGTAGAGGTTATTCATGGACATCACGAAGTCAATTTTATTGCGGACTATTTGGTTTCTTTGGCAACGGTCCGTGTGGTCGTGTCCTATCCTCGGAAGGTCCTAAGATAGTTTTTGTGTAGGCTTTGCCTTGTACCAAAAAAAAGTACACAACAACTCATGAAAAGTGTGGATGATTTCAATAGTACCTCCACGGGATTTTAGCCGTCAGATTGTCCATGTGTGTGAATGTATTAAAAAAAGGCAACTGTGTATTTTTAGTCTTGTTTGTTTAACGTCATAGTAATTTAGTATCAATTTTCCAACATTTCAACTTTTAGTCTTTTTATTTAATATTTTACTGCAATTTCAGTCATTTGAGTACTGGAATTGCAATAATTCCTAAATTTCAATATTTTTTATTAGTAATTTAAATCATGTAATTTAAAATTTTGTGCAATTTCAGTCTTGTAATTACAATTTCGTTCCAATTTTTAGTGTAGAAGTTACAGCAAAATATTAAATCAATGACCAAAAAACGAAAAATTTGAGCGAGACTAAAATTGTTACGGCGTTAAACCAACTGCACTAAAATTGCATTTTTTTCCCTTAAAAAGACCAATACTTTTTTATTTCCTAGACATTAATTTTTTATACAGTGTTGACATCCAAATTTACTCCAAAACCAGCTCAATATACAGCAACTAGCACAACACTTTGATCACGTTACACGATTCATTCTCCACTTCAAATCCGAAATGCGCTAAGGCGAATGAGAATTTTCCCAACCAATTAATCAAATCAAATACCCGATTTCGCCTAATTTGACGTCCTTCTCCCCCACCAAGTCTTTTCGCCTTTTGCAGTTTTCGAACTTTCGAGCTTTTTCAACATTGTTCGCGTGTCCCTCAGCTTAATCTTGTAATCTTTCTTCCACGATTTGAACTTGAGCTTCAGCTTACGAAGCTTGTCTTGAGGATGCAATATGCTGCAACCTTGCATGAGCCCGATTTCATTAATTTGATCAATATCCTCTTCGTTTATTAGCAATTCTCGCTGGCCATCGTGTGAAGTGATTATAAAATCAGGGCAATTCCTTTCAGAGGCTTGGTTCTTATTTGCTGCAGCTAAATGTTCCTGCATATATAATCAGTGAAATTAAATAAGATATAGCAGGAGCTTTTGGCAAATAGGCAAAACCTTTGGGGTAGTTTTTGCAATTAATTATCCTATAGAATGCCAGATAAAAATTAAAAACGGACTTGTATATTTGTCAACTCATCTTGCCATGCCTTCTCCAAAAATTTCATTCTTTCCTCATATTGCTGCCATTTTCCCTCCATTTCTTGAATTTGCATCCTCAAACCAACATTTTCCTCTTTCTTTCGCCTCACTTTTGCCTCCGCTCGTAAAATTCGTTTTTGAAGATCGATAAGTACACTGTATGGTACCTGAGATAAATCATGTTCATCAATAGGTTATAAAAAAAGGCCATGTCGGTTTAATGTCATAGTAATTTTAGCCCCAAGATTCCAACTTTTCGCCTTTTCACCTTTTGGTTTTGTGATATAATATTTTGCTTAATTTCAGTCATTTGAGGACTGAAATTGCAACAAAATTTTAACTTACAGGACTAAAATTGTAGTAAAATTTAAACTATAAGTTTGGGAATTTGTTGCAATTTTGGTCATTTGGACTAAAATTGCAGCAAAATATTAAATCACGTGGCAAAAAAGCAAAAATGTTGGGACTTAGAACTAAAATTACTACAGCGTTAAATCGGTAGGATTAAAAATGCAATTTTACCAAGAAAAAAAAAAAAAACCTTTTGTTAATACAAAACAAGAGTAGCGAAATAAACCTCGATGTCCTCGACTTGTCCCAAATTCACGCTTTTCCCTGCTAACTTCATTTGCTCGGCCTTTGCTTGCTTTTCTTTGAGTTCCCGTCGTTCAAAGTACATACGAATATGCCTCTGTATTAGGATGATAGCCTTAAGCTTTATAATCCAACAATTACGAACCGTTCGTGCATTTTCACCACGAATAACTGCAAAAGGACTTGAAAATTTGATGGAGTTTACAACAGATATGCGCATGCAACACTACGAACAGTTGATTAATTTATTTTACATAAGTCAAGATAGAAACAGAATTATAGTAAACCAAAATTTCAAAACAGGATAGCGTTCATTCTTACATGATTGCATTGCAATTACTCCTGTTCTGAGATCCTTGTAGTAGCACCTGATTTTGTAACCACGGTAGCATTTTTGGAGGTTCAATATTCCATTTTCTGGTGTATCTTTCGAATTCTTCTGCAGGAATTTGATATATATGATGAAAATTGTTTGATTAAGCTTCAGATACACTTGGAACTCTATATTTTCACTTGCAAATATTAACATTTTCTCAATCAATAACGCTGTTGTTGTTAGGTAGTCATATTTTCAATCATACTTTAATGGATAAACATATCTTCAAATTGAGATGTCATATTTTAAAAAACAATGTAAATAAAAATATGACATTTTATTGCATATATATGTATTTTTTTCTAAAAAAATACGATGGATCAAACACCTAACAGTTAGGCCACTTCGAATGAGAATTTAGATTTGTCAATTAAGGTCTTTTATTATATCGGGCTAGCCATTAGGCCAATATAATTTTTTTAACAAATATGGAGTACTACTTTTATTTTTTTTTTAAAAAAAAGGGTCATNCAACAAAAATCTTCTCGGACTATTATCATTAGGCAAAATTATAGTAAACTTTCGTAAGTATTATTAATTAGTGATAAATAAATTATTTTTTCTCACTTACCCCCTTCTGAAAACGATCAAAACTAACAGGCCCATCAGCCATGGCCATGGGGGCCCGTTCGGAGCCCGCATCAATTTCTTCAAGGCTCCTCCGCCTATGTAAGTCGAGCTGCAGCGGCTTCCGGGCCCGGGGCAGGCGAGCCCTCGAAACGGGCCGGGCGGGCAACGCCGGCGGAGCATCCTTGGGCTGATCGTCCGTCTGCCGCTGCAATTTGTCCAGCATCAGCTCCAGCGAGCTGCGAGTCGCCGTTGAATTCGTCAACACCATTGAAGGGCAAAGAGAGACAGAAAGAGAGAAAAAAAAAACGACGAATTGGGGAGCGTATCAAGCTTCACAACTCGGCCATACTACGTCGTTTTGTGCCTGTAATCTGGCAACAGAACACATGGGCTTTTCTATTTTTTGGCTTTTACTTAAATTGGGGAAATCTGAGTGTGGTGTGGGAATTGTATCGAACTGCATGTGTTTTAACTGTCGAGACAGCCTTTTGAGTTTCCCTTTTTTGGCTTTTTCTGAATTTCAAAGGAATTGAGTTTCAGGTTCTGTAAATCCTGCTTTTAGTGATGGTTAGGAAGACCAGGAAAATGCATAAAAATAAATAAATAAATTTGTTTTATTTAATTAATGAGCTGTCAAGTTTAAACACTGTTAACTAATTTTAATTGATATAATTATGGGGATCTGAAGTTTATAGGTAACTACACCATAGTTTTTGATAATTACTCTTTTCGAAGGATATAGTGGGAGTAATGATTTGATGAGGACCCAGATATCTATAGTTAGCTAAACCATGATAATGATAATCAATTTTCATATAGTTTTAGTGTGAGTTTTTGTTAGGCTCTTAATGTTACACAATCGTATTATTTTAATAATTTGTAATTCATATTTTCATCAACCAGAATTATGCAGTTTATATCTTCATGTGTTCTCGAATTTGTCATCAAAGCGTGTGAAATTTCGTTTTGAGAAAAAATTATAGTTCATTATCATCAACCAAAATCACGTATTTCATATCTTTATGTGTTCTCAAATTTGTCAAAGTGTGTAAAATTTTGTTTTGAGAAAGAATTATATTCCATTATCATCAACCAAATTCACGCAATTCTTATCTTCATGTTTAGGTTGTGAAGATCATTGTTGCATAATTATATATTTAAACCAAGAATATATACGTAAATATGATGATTGTTAACATGTCATCACTTTGGGGCTATAATAATTGTTTTTTTTTTTATCATTTTATAATAGTTTTATTTTAAAGTATAATGCAAATAGAAGTATGATAATTTATGATGTTTTTTTATTGCAAAGTATAATTGTATAATGTTCAGACAACTTAATACCACAATTTCTATGTTTAATAAAATATTTTTTTAATAGTACTCTTATAATAAATAGGATAAATAAGTATATTTTGCATTAAAGTAAACACAAATTCTTATGTGAGACAATATTACAGTTAGACGAGTTGATATGTTATACTTATTTCACATAAATGCATATTTTTGCTATGAACTGTCACAGAGTAAAATTAATTAATGAATTAGATAATCTAACACTACAATGTTTTCTTTATAGTGCAATTAGTTTTTCTACTAGTATTCTTGTACCAAATGCTAATGAATGAGATAGAAAAATGGTTGGTATTTTGAGGGATAAATGGATAATTGTCCCCTGAGCTGGTTTCAAAACTGTGAAGGCGATATGATTTTTCACTAAGGAGGGTCATCATTACGCATGTCACGTGGGGATCATATTCATTGGGCCTTACAAAACTCAGGCTTTCTTCCCATGTGCAAAAAGGCCATAAATTGGACCAGGCCCATATGGGGTTGCTGAAGCTAAACCATAGCCAAGTCTCGTCAAAAGATAAATGCTAATTAAAAATTTTATACTCAAATATTAATAAAATAAGTGTTTTTTATTTTTAAAATTTTCTAATATTTAAAATAAATTTCATTATTATTTATAATTAAAATGATAATATTTAGTTGTACGATGTTACCCATCTTATAGTATAATAAATTTATAATTTATATCTGATGACTTTACAAATAATTTTTTTAATTGATGTATAAATTTATGATTTAGAAGATAACTAATTATTATAGTAAAGATAAAAAAAATTATTTTCATATAGATTTGATTTACTTTAAAAGTCAACATAAATGAAACTGGAATTTTAAAGTAGAAAATGAATTTTTGTTAAAAAAAAATGACAAAAAGTACATTACAAAAAAGAGGGTCAAATGAGCCAGGACCCAAAGCAAGAAGACAAATCACAAAGAAATCTGTCAGAGCCTAACAATAAAGTCTCAAAACCATAAATAGAAAACTAGTGAGGGCCACCATGACCAAGACTATGCATCTGGTCGTTAGAGTTTACTACTTACTATGAAAATCAGAGAGACAAGACTCAAGAGAATGCACATAGGTATATGGATCACATTAAATGGCCTGCATATTGAAACAATTCTTTATTTGGGCCGCGGCTATCTGCAGGCCCCACAAATTTGACTACAGGCTGATAATACTTAATAGTCTTCAGGCCTGGCCCATTTACATTGCTTCAAATAATCTAGAGAAAATCACACAATTCACCGATAAATCTCTATTTATTGGCATATAACGAATTTTTATATTTAAATGCAAATAAAATAACTACTATTGTTTATGAGTGATTGATTTATGGCTTATTTATGTCATTTTTTTCTAAATTGCATTATTTTTTAAATTTATGACTCGTTTATTGATGGTTTATGCATAATTTTATTTTGAATGTTGTATTGTTGCAATAATTTCCAAAATGTGTAGTAACCATGTAAATAATACAATAATCTAAATATAAATCAAAATTAAAGTAAATGTATCGTGGACTAATACTAATGTTGATTTGTACATGCTGCTTGCTATAATTTTTGTGATATAATACAATGAGAAAGTTACTGAACTGAATTTGAAATTTTCAATTCTTACAATATAAATTAAAAATGAATTGAAAAAAAAAAAATAATATAATTTGATGTTAGGAAGAGAACGAGTGAAGCGATAGATTCTCTTTCTGCAGGACGAATAAATTCTGTAATTTGCAGACTTTTTCAAGCGTCTCGTCCTCAAAGATATAATTGTTACATTTTAAAAGCTGCACTTTCACATCCGAGCTCCAAAAACTTGAACGAAGCAAGAACCAAGTAGCACTATGGCACTATGTTTATAATGATGTATGTAGTTTTTTTGCAGCTCTAGACCTATTAGTTTATTGGACTTTCACCTATAGTTCATGCATCCACTAATGGTATGTAACAACCAACTCATGACTATTTTAGTGAGCAAAGTATAGTAAAGTATTAAATATATTGGTTTAAGATGTTAACACATCTTTCTCAAATTGAGTTTTTTTTTGTTAGAAAACCACAATCAACTTTACAACAAAAATGTTATAGAGGCTAAGTCAAAGACCAAAGCTCAGCACCGATCCATATTGTTCAAGGCAACCCACAGTCCAATTGGTAAGAACTAAGGAATAAGATTAAAGTCTAGGTCCAATCCAAGGCCCATGCCTGAACCCAGCTGATCGGCGGAGCTCGCGTGTAGTTGAAGCTAACACCTACACTTGGTGTATAACTTAGTTATTGTTGTGACTTCAACAACTCTCTTTATTATAATAATAAAAAAAAGTTATTCCTACTTAAGAGTCAAATGAATAATAGATCTCTTGACCTTTCGAATCTCATAGCTAACATATGAATGCCCATTAAATGCCTAATTTTTATTATTTATTTTTTACTCACTGAAGATCATTTTAGAAAAAATAAACACAGGAGAATTTTTCTACACATATTAATTCAACTTGAATTGAACTTTTAGTCGTTAGTTTGAATATCAACGATTTTTTTTTCTTTTTAATTATCAACCAAAACCATGGTATATGAAATCAAAAGCTAGCGTTACAATCACCCCCAAAGTCTGATGTGTTTGTGCTATTCCTAGTTAAACACATATGATTATGAATCACCATAAACATATAAGAAATCGACACACAAATTTATCAAGATATTTTTCATTAATATACGAAAGGAGATATATATATATATATATACTTATTTCTATATTTAAATATTATACTTTAAATTATAATATCAATCTAATTATAAAATTTTATATTATAAGTATATGACCCGTAATTGTTTTATAGCCTAATGATATCATTTCTTTTCCTAGTTTTAGCTAAAGATACAAAAGAAACTACTCTGTTTAAATAATGTCTAGAAAATATATCCACAACACATATTATAATAACTAGTAGTTAATCATGTGCATATGCACAGATTCAAATAAAGTATCATAAATTATATGTATGAATATTATATTTACAATCATAAAATATATAACATATATAGTAAATTTTATAAAGTTGATCATTAGTAAAAATGAATAATATAATTATACTATTATACTTAATATGATTCATTTATATGTCATAAAATGTAATGAATAATATAATTATTATAAATGTAAGAGACATTGACTAATTAATTAGTTGAAAAAATAATTAAATCGTTAATATTCATAGATTTTTTTTTTTACAATTTTAAAAGGTTTAATTTATTATGCCATTAAAACCAATTAGCTATTAAAAAATTAATAAGATAAAATTAAAATAAAATATTAAATAAATAATTTGAAGGAATAATATAGCCATAACAAATAAGTTAAAAAAATATTATATCTCTCTTATTCTTATAAGAAAAAATGAGAGCCCTTTTTAGCCTGACACATGTCCTCATTTTTAGCCTGACACATGTCTTCTTGTAAGCTTACAGAAAAAGTCCTTCATTTTGTTTTTTATATGGTACATGCGATACGACATCATTTAATATAGCTTCATTTTCAAGCTACAGATTTTTCACTTTTACGGGGCCCTTACCTCATCGATGTCCTACAAGACAAAACCCTTTCCATCTTCACGCTGTTTTTCTCTCGATTGACAGGCTCCATAATCGGTGACGATGGCTGAGACCTGCAGAACGCGCTCGTGAGCGATGGCAACCAAGGGCTTAAAGTGGATGGCGACAGCGCGACTAAACAGTGCGACGAATGGCCACTTGGATTAATGGAGACGACACACTGGTGAATTTCGCTGGCCCCCGACGGATATCGATGATTGTGTGGCCAAAGGCGGTGGCTCAGATCAGCAACTTCTCTACGGCCTGCAGTCTATTGGCGCATTGGAACTCTACGGATGGGTCGGCACGGTCTTCAGCGCCTGTCTTGTCTGCACAGCCATTTGGATCTCGAAGCTGGAGGCAGTTGCGGCTGACGGAAGATGGTGGGTTCCTACGGCTGTGACCGACTCGACAAGAGAGGACGACTGACCTACTTGTTAACGAACAATTTTTTACTCGCGCATATCTTCCTTTTCATTGTTTGAAGGATCGGAAACGAGGCTACCTGTACATTGCAGGCCAAGAAATTTTGCCTAAAGAATCTAATTTGATAGATTGATTGTTTGTCCCTAATCTGTGAGTTCATATTGATCGTTACCAAGCTGATTTTTGTTATTGGGATTTGTTCTGTGCTGTCTTTATCTGGTACTACTGGCTGATATTCCTCTGTGTTTGGTTCATAGGCTAAATTTAATAATGTCTTGCTTGATTTCTGGTCCCCGTTGGTTTGGGTTAGTTGATTCCTTAAGTTATCAATTAGTATTTTAGCTCGCCTGGTAGTAATTAGTATCGATGGTTTTGATGTTTAACTTGATTTACCTTTGTTCTATATTCTACACATAAGGTTGAAGGATTGTTAGATTGCAAAAGAAGAGAATACAATTGTCATCAAACAAAAAGAGAGCTGGGTTCCAGATATTTTATCAAGAAACTCGAAGAGCTTCGTGAACAGATCCACGAGGAGCGGGAGCAAGCTGTGTTTCATCACCTCCAAGAACAATCTGGCCTCATCCCGTAATTCCACATTCTCAAGGAGTAAATCAAGCAGGCTTTTCGAGAGTCACTATGAAATTCGACCGTAGTTATGATTTTTGCAGGCGAGGATAAACAAATCGAATTGAAGGATAGATTACAAGGATGAAGAAACCCTAAGCCTATATTCAAAGGGCCCAGAAAGAGGAAATTCCCGCTTCCCAGTCCTAGAAGAGCCCGAACTCCTCGGCTTCGCCAAATCTGTCGTTGCTCTTGATGTTTGTCGTTGAAGCAATTGCGGCAGTGACGTCCGTATTTGGCAGTGGTGGAGGACCGCTTGTCGCTGCCATTGAACTTACGTGAGCGGCGGAGGTCCTATGCGACAGATATTCAAGGACTTGCTCAAAGTCCTTGAGGCAGGTATTCAACATGCAACTACTCTATGCATTTTTCTTTTTTTTTTTTTCTTCTCAGAGTATGATTTCCTTTTCGTTGTTAATTTTCAATCTCCTTTTACCTATTACCACTGAAATTTCAAAAAATAAACTGAAGCGTGATAAGAAATAATGGAAAATGTGGCGGCTAACATGACAAAGATATGTATCAGATTCTACTGTGAATTGAATGTCATTTGACAAATATAAAGATGCAGGATGCCTCCCTTCTGAAAACTTTTATCGAAAAAGTACACGATTAAGTGTGCGTTGTGAATCTTGCTTTCTGACAGGAATCGAGCAAGTGCATTCAGGTTGAAGCATTCCACATTTTCAAGGTCATGAATTCTACTTCTAAATCTAAACCTCCTGTAAGAAAGTTGATGAATTTGTTGTGACCGTCTCACTATTACATCTAAACTAATCAGGAACTCAGCAGCCAATTGGAACAAACCCCCAGAGGTTATCAATATCCTTGCAGCCAATAGAAGAAAACTTCATCGCCTTTTTGCTGATTTTAGATGGATAGAGGTAGTAAATGATATATTACATAATTACACAGGCACGTACATATATGAATATAAGTCCAATTTTTTTCGTTTCATTTTCAGCCACATCTGTATATTTGATTCGGTTTGGTTGCATAGGATGAACAGTTTGAGGTTGTTAAATGGCAAGTCATCAAAGAAATTGCTGAGCTTGAGGCCAGAGAGCAACCATGAAAAATTGAGTTCCAAAAACTGCTAAAGAAGGTTAAGGTAATTATTGTTTGTGAAATAAATGTAATTATTAAATTGGCCAACAATAGAGATTATAAGTAATCCACAGTTATTTATGATCTTCTACCTAATATTATCGAAGATTGTACGAGGTCATTCTTAGGGCCTAAATCTTAAAATATGATCTCCTACCTAATATTATATTAGTGCATATTGAAGTACATGTTTATAATATGGACGAAGATTGTACGAGGTCATTCGTAATTTCGTACAAGATCAAAAACTTAAAATGTTGTTGCAAGGCATCCGACTTCTCCCAAGAGTATAATGGGGTGTGCCTGCAAATGAAGATGTAACGCAATCCGACTGCCCATTTTTATCTTTATTGTCCAGTGGACTGATTTGCAGGTGCTCTTGGGCTGTTGACAATAATAATTCATAATGTTAGCCCTCGTTCTGCTTAATGTTCTTAAAAACCTTTTCAGCGTAAATGCACATGGCTCATTTTTCTTCCATATAGTAAATGCAATCAAATTTTGTAAGGTATAGGTATATGTTTATGGCACGACAACTATGTCAACTCATGAGAGAAAAGCCAGCATTCAGGAACTCTGGTAATGTTACTGGTTCATATATTTGGTTAAACATTTTGTAAGAAAATGAATATCGGTTCTAAAAACTATTTGGTCATGTCTAACTATTATTTTACCATCTCTAATGTTACTGGTTCATATATTTGGTTAAACATTTTGTAAGAAAATGAATATCGGTTCTAAAAACTACTGGTTCATATATTTGGTTAAAAGTTGTTTCACAGATACAGGGATAAGAAAAATACGGGCAATGCTGGGAGCTAAATATTGGGAGGAAAAAAGAATGTAGGATTTGCATGGAGATGAACATCAACATATCCTCCCATACTGTAACCATGCCATGTGCTTAAGATGCTATAAAATTGATCTAATCCCATTTTTCTAACATTAAGTATTAGGATTGCCTTTTATGTTCGACAGGCTTTTCAGCCAATATGGCCTTTATGACAACGGTTAGAAATGTTAGAATTGCACCTATATTGGTGAATTTTAACGTACCTTTCACGGTAACAATCTATGTATGTGTTCGACACTTTTCTTTTTTTTTTTTTATATTATAAAAATGTAATTAAAATTAGTTAATTAGCTACTTCATATTTGTTATATTTTGTGTTCTTTTCTCAAATTTTACCTAGCTTTATGTTATTGTAATAGACGAATCAATTTAATGTATTTTAACTTTCATTTTACACTTTATTTTATTTTTCTGTAACAATGTATTTTGACACATTCGTACAAGATTTCTTTATCAGACATACTTCATTATTACAATTATATTAATTGACAATTTTAATTAAATAAAACTATGAGAGGACTTTTATAAAATATGAAGTACTCATAAGAGAAATTTTAGACTACAAAAATCTACTTGCATCTGCAAAACTCATACTCAGTAACCTAATTACCCTCAAAGTTAAAATTTAATGTTTGTTACAATGTATCTTCAGTGCTAACCTACTATAAACTAACGAATTATATCAAATTGTTTTGTAGTTGAATTTTAATATTGTCCGACTTTTATCTTTCAATTATGGGTTGAGACGTTAAATTTCTTTTTTACTTCCAACGTTTCAATCCACATTTGAATGATAAAAGTAGATTGTTTTTTTTGTTACACATTACAAAAATAACTAATAGTAAGATAATTATATATTAAAATTAATACTTAATCAACAACATAATTTCACAACATAATATATAACTAATTATAAATTAATTACGTACTTAATTTTAACAAAAATTGGGTCGGCTGTGCTGTGCACAGCCGGTATCAAACTAGTTTAATTAATATAAAATGTAATGGTCACTTTCTATAAATAAATGAAAAAAGAAGATAACACTAAATTGTATATATAGATTTATCTCCATATAAAATGCGAAATTAAGCAATAACCCTAATTGTAAGGAAAAAAAGATTCTGTCGTTTCGATTGCTCCTCGCCTGCGTTTCTTTGTTTCTCTTTCCCTCTCCCCGTTGTTGTCCCCGGGCGGTTTCATCTTTACCCTCATCTCATACGATTAAGGTTTTAGCCTCTGGTTAGGGAGTGTTGAATCCCAATAACTTCGATTAAGATTTCGTCTATCTCCTTACTGGTCCGCCATCGATTTGTAAACTTTAAAGTTCTTGATATTGTTGTTTTTCTTTTCATTAATTATGCTTTCCAGTTCGAAGCTTGGTATAGTTTCGTGATAATCTTGGTAATTTACTGAAGTATTGTTATTTTTTCTACTCAGGGAGTTCTTGAAATTCCAGTGCTTTCAGTGTGCATAGAAGGATCGATACTCGATGGAGGACTGGGGTAAATACATTCAGTTCCTCCTGTTGTTTTTCTCCCGAATAGATTGTTTGGACAGTTTATGGTGATTCTAGTTTGATCTATTTGGCGTTTTCCAGATTTATTGTTTTTGTTTCACATGACAGATTTGTTTTGGGCTGATTTTAGTTTTACAAATGCTGCCTATATAATGTCTAGGTTGTATATTGACTTGAACGAGTTACATCTTTATTGGAATTCAAGTTAATTTTCTAAGAGGCATTCGATGTTAGGCTGCTTAGACTGAATTTTTGCATTTTTTAACCGATGAATAAGGACACTATCTTGATTTTCCTTCATCATTGTTCCTTCTGTTATAACCTATTGCAGTTGATATCCAGCTGGACATAAAAACGGCATCAACATGTGCCCCGAGTAGTTATAAATGATATTGTTGTTTGCGTATAGTGGAAAAAAGGTTGCGTGGTTGCATATAATTAAATAGCTAGATGATCGGTACTCTTGGTGATTGGCTTTCATTTAACGGAAAACGAAATGTGGAGCAGTTTCTTTGATACTCAGGGAGTGCATGATTTAAGTTGTGTTGATTTTTGTACAAAAGCATAGTTTTATCAATTCCTTTTATTTGCCTTCTCCTCATTGATAACAGTCTATTAAGGTTAAGTTTTTCTCTTACTTCCACTAGTAATCTAGTTTCTTGATTGTTAAAACTGTGGTGTTTCAGAAGATGAGCCTATTCCTGATCTTCTCAATAAAAAAGAGCATTTGAAAGCCAATTGGGACGATGAAGATTTGGACGATGTCAAGGAATCTTGGGAAGACGAAGACGAGCCTGCTACGGTATTGGTTACTTTTGCTTGATTAATATTAAATTTTGAGACCATGGATGAAACTAACACAATATAGCTTGATCAGTGTGGGTTATTCCCTCTGCTATTGCACTACATTTTGTCTCGAAGTGTATATTTATAGAAAAATGCTACAAGTACATAATAAATGTACATAACACTCACATAGAGTGGAGTCCACTTGATTTTTTATTTTTGGCAGGACCTACTTAATGTGAGTGTTATGTACACATCTATGTATAATATTATGTACCTATAGCATTTCTGATATTTATATGCATATCTCGAATAGCTGTTCACTGTTTCTTAATGTGCAGAATCGTTTTGATAGTTACAGCTCACTCTTGTCTGTGAGATTTCTTATATGGCTGTTGAGTGTTGAGGAGTTTCTTGGTTGCCTGAAACTACACAATGCTCAGAGGATTGTTTTTCGAGATGGATCCATTTACTTTTTGGCTTCTCTGTTTTCTTTGGCAGTTGGAAGTGTATATGCAAGATGATAAGCTCTATGGACTAGTGTCGGGTTTATTATTTTGGTTTGCATTTGGTATTATTCTTCTCTTTACTTACCTCAAATTGTTCTTCCAGGCGCCAAAGGTGGAGCCAACGCCATCTGAAAAGGTTCCTAAAAAATCTGCTGCTAAATCAGGTGAAAAGAAAGTGAAAGCTGCTGAGGCTTCAAAAGATGCTCCAAAAGAGGAGCCATTAGATCCTGTACAAGAAAAACTCCGTCAACAGAGGTGGGCTTATGGTGCACATAGCATTGTCAAGTTTACTTTTAAATACTTAGCTTGCTTTCTGTTTGTACAATCTCACCTGTTGTGCTATGAAAAGTTAAAGATAGTAGGTGCACTTTGGTGTGTGAACTAGCAATGTGACTCAAAGATGGCATTCTTCCTCCTTTTGTGCTGGGAATTGAAGCATTTGCTATATCAGCAGTAATGAAATTTCAAAAGAGACCTTACCTGAGAATAAAACCAAATTTATGTAACGAGCTAAATTGTGTTCAATAAAATAAACTGTAGAAAGTACAATAAAAGACCATTACATCTCACTACAATGTATTATAGTAGTAGTTATGAATGCAAGGTCTACAAATCTGAAATTTCACATCGAACAATTAGACTATTTTTCTGTAGGATATGCATATTTTTGTTTGGATCATTATATATAACCACAAAGGAAATGGAAATTCGGGCTTTGAGAAATGGGCCCCTCTAGCATTGTGTGTCCCAAGTGGTTTGTTTCTATTGGTTACTCAGGGCAACCATTGCATCCACTCATTAATCTTTTTCAAAATGTGTGATTTAAGTTGAAACGGGCTTTGCTCTTTTTTTTTCAGGCTTGTTGAGGAGGCTGATTATAAAGCGACTACCGAGTTATTTTCCAAGAAGGGTGATGATAAGACACTGGAAAATTTTATCCCGAAAACTGAAAGTGATTTTGCAGAATATGCGGAACTTATTTCCCATAAACTTTGTCCATATGAGGTTTAGTGACAGTTCCCATATACACTGTGTTGTGGTGATTTGTTGATGTAAATATGACCTCGTTATTATTTTCCTCTTCTCACAGAAAAGCTATCACTATATCGGATTACTGAAGGCTGTGATGAGACTGTCGATGACTTCTTTGAAAGGAGCGGATGCCAAAGAAATTGCATCCTCCATTACTGCAATCGCAAATGAGAAGATAAAAGCTGAAAAAGAAGCTAATGCTGGCAAAAAGAAGACAGGTTCGTTTATTTATTAGTTTGTTTATTACTTCATGGTGAGTTAGATTTGATTACTGGTATAGTTTTCTAAGAAGTTTGTGAGTGTTTGCAGGTGGGAAGAAAAAACAGTTGCATGTCGGAAAACTGGATGATGATGTGGCTATTGATAATACATACGATGATTTGGATGACTATGATTTCATGTGAATTTTGCTGAGAAATTTTGCTGGAATGTTCTCTCTCTCTTTTTTCTTTTTTGGGAATTGGGTGGAATAAAGATCATTTTAAAGTTGTTCAGGTTTTGTTGTGTTTGTGCTGATTGGTTATGCTTTTAATTCTTGTATTGAGCTTATTGTTACCTATGTTCTTATATCTTGATTATGAATTTATGATTATAGAAGTATTTAATCGTTACCAGCCTATTTTTTCCTCACTGACTTTTTATGTTCTCTAAACAGTACATGATGTTTAGAGGAGCTCATTTTAAAATTTGACTTTTAGTTGAAGCATCATATATATTCTTAGAAAATCAAAGAAGCTAAAAAATATCGGCTATTTATGAACGATTGCAAGATTATGATATCCAAAATAAAAGAATATATAATACTTAACATATGATTGATTTAGGGAAGCGTACGAGTAAGGAAACGAACATGTGAGAAGGATAAAATGAGATCTCAATCTCAAAATACGATGAACTCAATTAATTTCTTATTTCATATTCAACTGAAGAAAAGAAAAGAGGATGAGTCATTTAAACAAGACCCCTGAACCCTACTCTTAGTTTGTGCAACAAGACAAGATCTTTTACTAAATATTCTAATACCAATAATAAAACTAATAATTATTCTTTTACTAATTAAATATTACAGATAAAAGAAATAATAATAAAATAAAATAAATATATAAAATAAATTAATGATGCTAGACTACATCATTCTCCCCCGCTGAAAATGATTCGTCCTCGAATTTGCACCTCGCGGCGTCATCCTCTGTCCCACGCACAAATGCCGATCTCAAATGGAACCGGCCTCCGTCTATCGACAACATTTGTCAACAAGACATGTGGGAACAAAGCTGAGTCCCAGTGAAGCTTTTTGACAGGGAATCCCACTACTCCCAAGCCTTTATTTCCTCCCACATAATGTGTCAAATACAACATATTCGGAGCAAATGCATGAATATTTCTGTTAGGATGAGGATTACTTTCACCAAAGCCTGGGAGATCATATGTGACCCAACCGAACACCAAATTCTTCCAACAGCTGAATTTTGATACCCAGAACATGATATTGTCTCCTCAAACCTACGATCTCCGAACAAAGATATTCAAATCATTCCGTGAAATACTCGTTCAACTGCTGAACCCAGGCATCAGTCTGTTTAAACCGGTCGTTGACGGTTGCGTCACGTTGTTCGTCTGGCATTATAAAAATCATTAATTTACTACCCACTAACAAAAATTATGCATATTCTGATGATGTTTTTAACATTAGAATATATGAAAATGTAATTAGACTGTTATGTTGACCATGTCTGATATTATAAATTATTAGTTCGAAAAGAATAATCATAACATTCATGACATATATTTTTACAGATATATGTTATGACTCAAATGTGTAAGTAATCCTTTACTTGGTTATAACATACTAGTAGGAAAAATATCAATATATAGGTTGAACATAACTATTAATATTAAATTATTTTATAACAGTATATCATATTTGTTTATATTATTGACTCATGCATTGGAGCGTTGTTTTTATCATATGAAAAAATAGCACTCATAGATCGAAAATTTTACTTCCTAGCCAGCCTATTGTACAATATCAAGTTTGTTTCAGGGTTGATTAACCAAAACACTTACAAATATAAAAATCATTATATATAGATAGTTATTGCGTAATGTATAAACTTTTTATGTACAATTTTACTTTATATCCAAACCAAAAAGTATATACTTTATATTATGCTAATTAAAGCATCTCCAATGCATAAATGTAGTTATAGTAAATTACACTCTACATTAATATATTTAGTCATTTATCCACTTTTAATCCTCCAATGCACAATGTTCTCACAAATATAGTGATGAAGTGGACATAATTAGACCATGTCCAATGTAGCTCCAGATTAGAGTTTTACTCTAGAGTTGCGCAGCGAAACTCCTCCAGTGCATCTCTACAATTTTGCGCCACAACAAAGATATCTACAGTATATCTCCACATCTGGCGCAATACTGTTGCTGTTGCGCTAGATCTTCTTTTTTTTTATCATTTCCTTTATATATATATATATATATATATATATATATATATATTATTGGTAATTGTTTCTATAATATGTAATAAATGTATTTATTATGTTAAATAACTTTGTGCTTTTTATTTATTGATGTGTAATAAATTTAATTTTGCATTTTTTTACTATTAAAATTAATGTATATTAATTTTATTTTGTAATTTTTTAATATTAAAATACCACAAAAAATGAATATAAGATGAAATATACATATATTAGAATTTATTT